GGAGCCGCTTCAGCTTGCTTTCGGTCTTGGTGTTGCTTCTGCACCGTTAGTCAGCTGTCTTGTGCGTCATTTCACCTCCGGCCTGTTCGTGCGCCGCTTGCACCATCCTGGTCTCTGGTCAGCGTGCTCTGTCTTCTCCTCGGTTGGTAGTGCCCCTTCGGTTCCGGTGTGTTTTTTCGTCGGCTCTTTCCTTTGGGCCTTTGCCTCTGGGGGTCGGTTCGCTGTGTTTTCTTGCTCCTTCGGTTTTAGCGTTTTGGTTGTTTGATGGCAGCAGTCTCCATCTTTTCTGGCGCGGGGTGGGGCTGCTGCATTCTGGAGGGGTCCAGGGTTTGTTGGTGCTTTGTTGGTCGGGCCCGGGGGGTGTGTCGTTTTTGTGTTCAGTGGCGGCCCTCTGCTGTTGTTTGCGTGCCACGGCGTTTGGGTCCGGAGCGCGTTTTGCGTTGATCCGGTTCTGTTCTTCCCGGTTCGCGGGTGATGGTGTCCCGGGTGGTCAGCCGTGTTCTTGCGGCTAAGCTGCCTGTGTTCTTCCCTCATGCCTGTGGCGTTCGTGGCTTCGCTGCTCTCGCTGCCGTCTGGGCGACGTGGCCTTGCAGTCTTTCGGGCATGGATTTTTGGTGTTCGTGCAGGGGCCTTGCTGCTCGTGGTTCTCGTGTTGTTCCCGGGATTTTCGGGGCTGTGGCGCCTTGGGTTGGCGTTTGCTGCCGGTTGTCTCGCCTCCTTGGGGGGTGCGTGGTGTCCGCCTCCCGGTTTTGTCCCTTTGACCTTCCTCTGTGGGTAGTTAGCTCCGGGGAGCCGACGGGGCTCCCCCCAGAAAACCAGCGTTGAATGTAATGAAACGCCATTTTCTGGGTGAGACCCGGAGGCTCCCCGGCAACCCTCCCTCCCTCCGGTCGGCGTTTTTCGCGTGTTTTGACATCCAGCCTCAGAACTGATGGGTGGATAGCTAGAAAACAGACACCACACTCTAGGTACAGTGCTGAAACAACCACTGGAGCCGGAGCACATAACCATTGCCTATAGCATCAGCCGAAGAACTGATGGGTGGATAGCCGGCGTGGGAGGTCTGGGGCTCCCCCTTCCCCCTCCCGGGGAGGGGGGAGCTGCGCAGACAGCGGCGCGGTGACGTATGACGTCATACTAGTTTCCGTGTTTTCTGTTGAAGAGTTCTATTCACAAGTTCGGCTTAGGTAGCAATTTTCACCAGAATAGGGGTTTGTTTTGGAATGCTTACCTTTCTGGATGCTTGACCCGGTCGATGGCAGACATAGAATGCTTCCAACCACACGGGGGTTTCTATAGGCCATTGCTCCCCTTGCCTCTCTGAGGGGGCCAGGTTCTGGCTCGTGGTCCCCGGTAGGCCCTAGAACTCCATACACATGACTGATGCCAAAGTCTGACATTAGCATATCAGCCGGTAAAGCTCCGGGGAGCCTCCGGGTCTCACCCAGAAAATGGCGTTTCATTACATTCAACGCTGGTTTTTTGTGGTGTAGAATGGATTAATCCACTTTACATTATTTCTTACGGGAAAAAATTATTCAGTACTGGAACGATCTGCACTCAAACGGCCTTCTGGACTCAATTAAGTTTGAGTAGTACCGAGGTTCCACTGTATTGGTATTTTATCAACAATGGGTTCGAGAAGAACCACAACTACAGTCTCTAAGCAAAGTAGCTTATATATGCAATGAGCTAATTTTATAATTTATTTACCTATCATACACACCACCCCCATCCAGTGGGCAGCGGTGGAACAGTTACGGTCATTCACACTTGCTTCCCACAGTTAGCAAACTGGTAATATTTGGTTAAAATTTCTGGTTTTAGATTACTTTGTATTAACAAATTTAGACATTTCTCGAACATTTGTTATACAGCTGTCCTTAAACTAGTGTATTGTTTTGCACTCCATCACATAGTGGTGCATGGTGTGTGAATAATTTTGCCGACACAATTTACACTTGATGAGGTCTACATCAGCGGGTAATACAAATTCCAAGAGATACTTATAATCAGTTCTAAGCTGAACAGTAGTAACATCTAGGAGTCTGCTGATTTTATTGAATGATCCAAAGTTGTGTGACTTTTCTTGAATGATAGCATGATAATAAATGGAACTTCTAGTACTAATTTCATTTTGTCTCAGTTCTACAAGGTTCTGTTGAATTTCTTGGTGTATTATTGTTCTCAAGTTGCTTATAGGCAATCCAAGGAAATACTTAACCCTCTTCTATGAGGGCAAGTTCTTTGGGTAACTCATCAGCTCTATCATGCATTCGGAGGCCAACATGTGATGAAATCCACCTGAATTGCATTCTGTTACCATCATTAATAATTTTGTTGTATTTACAATTATTTAACTTATTAAACTAAACAGAAAGTAACTAGCCAAGCATCATTGATCGTGTTACTGAAACTAATTGTCTAATTGGTATAAAAATGCTTAGGCTATATCATCCTAACCCTTGTACCAAAACCCTCCTGAATTTCTTTGCTGAAGGTCTTCAAAATAGTCTTCATTGTTGAAGATCTTCAAAATGGATTACTTAAATTGGAATTGAAGTCAAATTTACAATTTGTATCAAGAGACAGCAATGGCACTTTCCTGCACCATAGCAGATTACTCCCCTTCAAATTTTAATCTCTGCCTTTCCACCCAAAAAGCAAATTAAAAATAAGTTCAAGCTTTGTCTTGAGGCAAAGCTCAATGCCTTAAACCATATTGATACTCTGTCCACAGAACATTCCCTCTCTCAAACCATATACACGGATGGTTTCCTACACTGTCCACAGGTGCATCTGGAAGTGCAGTTGTCCTGATAATGGGTGATGGCTTGTATTTTGAATAGGTAGTCTATATAAATAAGTGAGCCTCTACCCTTGAGACAAAATAATTGCCATACTTCTTGCACTCAAATGTGTAAAAGTCTCCTCCCTCCCTCTGGTTGTCAGTTTTCATCATTCAAAGAACTGGATAGTGGTGGTCTAACCTACCCAGGCTGGCTCTCATCTTCCCACTGGGGGGGGGGTTGAGCCTGCTTGGTTCTCTTTCCTGGGGAAGTTCTTTTGCACTTGTGAGGACATAGGTGGCACTTTTCAACCAGGCAGTAGTCTGTTTTGATTCACCTACCTTTCCGAGTGCCTTCCCTGGTCGATGGCACGATGACATACTTTAAATGTATAAAGTGTTCATGGGCCATTGCTCCCTTTGCCTCTCTGCGGGGGGGGGGGGGGGGGGGGGGGCCTGGTTCTGGCTTGTGGTCCCCAGTAGGCTTACAAGGAACTCTGACTGATGACACTCGTGTAGTATGGCAGTTGTCCAGTAAGATAGCTTCAGGGAGCTGACAGGGCTCACCCACAAACTGGTGTTTCATTACATTCAACACTGTTTTTCTGTGGCGAGCTCCTACGGCTCTGTGGAGCTATCGGGCTAATATTCAATATATTAGACCAGGGCTTTAGTTAATGGAGTTCTGCCTACCAGGGGACCATGAGGCAACCTGGCTCCCTCAGAGAGGCACAGGGAGCAATGGCCCTGGAAAACCCCCCTGTGGTTGGGGTTTACCTTATCTGCCATCGACTGGGGTTAGACACCCAGAAAGGTAGGTGTAACAAAACAGACCCCATAAGGTAAGAAAAATGCAAACAAAAGCCAAACAGAGAGGTAGAACTCTTTCAATTCCCATGGAAACAAGAAAATATCACACCATGTCATCATGTCGCTTGTCCGCTCAGCTCCCCCCCCCACAGGAGGAAGAGGGGGGAGACCTGGATCCACTGCGCTGGCTACTCAACCTCAGTTCAAAGGCTAAGCATCAATGGCAAAACGAAACCGCCAACCAGAGAAAGGAAGGGTGCCACAAACCTCTGGAGCTCACCCAGAAAATGGCGTTTCATTACATTCAACACTGGTTTTCAGTGGGGAGCCCTTACGACTCCTTGGAGCTATGTAACTAAAAATAAGTATATGAGGGACAAACCCAGGAAGCGGCCACTACACGCTCCTCAACTCGAAAGCGAAACAACTGGCTGCAACCTGCGACCTAAAGCAAGACACGAACACCCAGAACCAGGAATGTGAACCAAATATCCGGCGGCCAGGACCCTGTACGACCTCCAAAATCACTGCGCCCCCTATAATAGCCCAAGACATGTTGCCGAAGATGACAGCCAGTACAGCAAATATCCGAACGTCATGGGCACGAGGAGAGACAGCAGGCTGGCTAGACTTAATAACTCTGCGGTTGACCTGGGAGACCTAAGACCTGGAACAGGGAACAAGGACAAACCGGATCAAACAACATGACCAGAAATAAAAGAACCTACGAAGAGAGAGAAAATGGCGAAAAGAACGCCAGGAAACTTCATACTGTCGCCAAGATGAAGCTCGCAGATGGGAAAACATCAAAGAGGCCATCTGATCACCATAGAGATGGTGATAAACCCACGTCAAAAAGACCAGACACGAAGAGAGGAGATGACTGAACCAGCCGTGTACCTGACCAGTCCGATCTGCTGGAAGAGCTGCACAAAATGCCCCTGGTTCGCACACCGAGTAAGCAGTGCCTGAAACCAAGACTGGGCCAGCCACCAAGGGGGGCCAAGAGGACTACTCCCTTGTGGGAGGACTAACTGAGCCAGAACCCAAAGTAACAGCTGGACCGGGGGAAGAGGGACAGGGAACCCTTACTCTGCCAGGCCTGCCAAAAGGCGTCCACTGCGAAGCCCCGCTGTCGAGGAAGGGCACCACATATACTGGAAGACGCCATTATCATACTACACATCTTTTCTGTGTGCTATATGGGATATCATTCTCAAAAGGTGCAGAGCTGCTTTATTACTAAGACTTACAATTGTTAAAATTAGTTATACTGTATATATTAAACATAATGCGATTGATAATGGTCTGGTCAAGGCAACCTAAATTTTCAAGTGTTTGATGACAATTGAGAGAGATTAAATGGCTATACACTGCACTGTAGAATATTTTTCATTCACAGATGATAATGGGTGAAGGAGACTCGCCAACACCGCGTGCAACTCTCACTGGTCATGAAACTGAGGTGACAGCTGTTGTGATTTCTGCTGAACTTGGCCTTGTTGTGTCTGGCTCTAAGGGTAAGTAAGGGTTATGTTGTACATAAAATATTAAACTAATTAGTAATTTTATCCTTTGCAAAAAATGGTCATAATAAATCTTTTGGCAGTTGCATTTATTTATAACCATGTACTGTATGACATTTTCCTGTATAACACTTAACACTTTCGCGCTCTGGGCCCCCGAGCGCCCCACCAACCGGGGTGGGTTTGGGCGTTCCACAGGAGCACGAGGGAGAGCGCGGTAAATTCTGAAATTTATTTTCAGACGATGCTTGATAGGTGTCTGAACCCGGGGCGTTTTCCCACGGCTCCGCCTCTTTGGGCAGGTCGGACCGGTCCTGTACGTGACTGGTTCGGCCTTCTCCTCGGCTCTTCGCGTCTGGCATTTTGACGTGGGTATCACCATCTCTGTGGTGATCAGGTGGCTTTGTTGATGGTGTCCCACCTGCGAGCTTCGTCTCGGCGACAGTATGATGTTCCTGATGTTTCTATGTACCTTTTTCTTGCTCATCGTAGGTCGTCTTCTTTTTTCACATCGGGTTGTCTTGTCCTTTCTTGGGTTTTCAGGACTACAGTTATTTGATGTTTCTTACTGTCGCCTTGTTTTGTATGGTGCTGGCGGAGCTGCTCCGGCTTGCGTTTGGGGTGGACATCACATCTGCCCCGTTTCATACACTTTCTCATGTTTTGTTTCACCTCTGGCCTGCTCATGTGTCGCTTGAGCTGTCCTGGTCCTTGATCAGGGTGCCCTCTTATCTTCTCCTCAGTTTGTGGTAGCCCCTTCAGTTCAGGTTTCTGCTCTTTGGTACTGGTGGTAGGTTTGTACGTTTGCAGCCTTTCTCCGTTCTTCTGGCGACGATCAAGACGACTGCTTACCGGGGGGGGGGGGGGGGGTCCTTGGGTTATTGATGCCTGTGTTGCCCAGTTGCGTTTTTTTGCCATTACTTGCATACCGTGTCTGGGGATGCTCTTTGGATTGATCCGGTTCCCCTCATTCCCTGGGCTCGGGTCTCCCAAGTCCTACGCAGAGTTTTTAGGCCTTCCAGCCTGCGTTCTAACCTTGCGCCCGTGCTGTTCAGACATTTGCAGCTTTCGCTGCTGTGTTGATGTCTAGGACTCATTTCGGGCGCGAGGATTTGAGGGTCTCACAGGTTCCTGGCTGCCCATTCTTTATGTGCATGTCTGCTCCTGTGCGTTCTTGTTGCCTTGGGTCGCAGGTTGCAGCCTGTTGTCTCGGCTTCACGTTGTGGAATTTGTGGCGGCCGCCTCCCGGGTCAGCCTTTTCTTTTCCTTCTCTTTGGGTATGAAGCTCCAGGGAGCCGTAGGGGCTCCCCACAGAAAACCAGCGTTGAATGTAATTAAACGCCATTTTCTGGGTGGGCCCCGGAGGCTTCCTTGCAACCCTCCCTCCCACCAGTCGGCGGTTTTCTGGGTGGAGCCCCTACCGCTCCCCGGAGCTATCCATGGCTGATATGGATACCCTAACTATTTTGCATCAGTCGATGTGGGTGGAGTTGTAGCCTACCGGGGACCACGAGCCAGAACCTGGCCCCCTCACAGAGGCACGCAGAGCAATGGCCCATAGAAATGCATATGTGATTTGGAGCATTCTATATCTGCCATCAACCGGGACAGGCACCCAGAAAGGTAAGCGCCACAAAACAAACCCCTATTCTGGTTAACGACGAAAATTGACAAACGCGTGGACAGAACTCCCCAAAAGAAAAATGAGCAAACAAGCATGACGTCACACGAGCCGTGCCACATGTCTGCGCAGCTCCCCCCTCCCCAGGAGGGGGAAGGGGGAGCCCCAGACCCCCGAGCTGGCGATCCACACCCCAGTTCCTTGGCTGATGGGATCGTGCATGGTCGTGTGGTTCCAGCTCCAGTCCTGTGACTTGTTTTCAGTGCTGCTCTTACAGTGGTCGTGTGAGCTGGGAGTAGTTTTCTCAGGTACTCGGGCTGCATGTGCTTAGGGTCACCTTCCCTGAGTGCCCTGTAAGTACCGCCCTTGGGGCTTGGGGTTTCCTTCCACAAGTCACCTTGGGTCTACCTCTATTGGCTTTTCGCTGCTTGGCGTTTGGTCGCCTCGAGTGTTTGGGGTTTTCCTCCCTTGTTTACCTTGGGGTTAGTGATAGTTATAGCACTGGTGGGGCGCAGGGTACTGCGTAGCTAGTTTTCACCTATAATAGCAGCTGGCTCTGTTCCCTCTGGGTACATTGTCCACTTGCGTGGTTTTTCTTTTCTTTTTGTTTTTGCCTGGTGGGGGTCTACCTTCTGTTTCCCTTCCCCTTATATTAGGGTCGTTTGTGTGGTGGTACCCCCTGCTTTGCCCTCGCGAGTGGACATGTCCTGTGGGATTAGCTTTTAGCAGTTAGTTTGCTTGGTAGTTTGGGACACCGGTTAGCAGTGCCCTGCCTGGGATAACCCTTAGCAGATCCAGGCTAGGAGCCCTGGGAAACCCCGCAGGGGGGCTCTCGGGTCTGATGGAGGAGACCCTTGGTCCTCTCTCGCTGTGTGCGAGTTTGAGGGTTGCTCTGTCCCCTTGTCTCAGGGTGACTCTCATTGTTTTTGCCTCCGTCATGCTGCCTGTTGGGTCGGTGACACATTTGACCCTGTGTCCTGCGAGCTGTGTTGCTTGTTTGTGACTCAATTCACCCAGTCTGCTGATGATTTACTTCGGGTGCAGGCAGCTCGTGCGTTGCAAGGTAGGTTTAGGTTGTTGCAACTCACTCGGGTTGTCGCTTCCCTGGAGGCCCCGAGGCTGCCCCACTTTGTGTATAGGGACCCAGACTTGGGGGTGTTGGTCGCTTTATTTTTATTTTTATATATACAAGAAGGTACATTGGGATTGAGGATACATAGCATAGTAATTACAATCTTGTAAAGCCTCTAGTACGCGCAGCGTTTCAGGCAGAAACACAGGTCAAGGCTTCGGCCTTGGTTCTGTCCATGCCCCCTTGTTCTTCCCCTTCAATGGTTCATTCTGTCCCTTCCCCCCCTGCTTCCGGCCCCGAAGCGTCTGAGGGCTTCGGAGTTGAGGTGGGGTTTAGAGGTTTCTGAGACTCGGGCAGTTTCGGGGGTTGCCCCGTATGGGGTGGCTACGGAGGCATTCGAGTCTGTTCCTCCAGCCGATGCTCCAGGGTCTGACCAGTGGGCTCCTTCTCTTCCAGCTCTTTCGGCTTTCCCAGCTTTTTCTTGTGAGGCCGGGGGGCTTTGGAGGACGGTTCGGCCCCGGGGCCTGGTGTAGAGGCTCCTGGGGTTGAGGAGGAGCTGACTTGGGGGGGGCCTTGGGCTCCATTGGACCATGCCTGGATTTTCTGGCCTTCTTAACACTTTCGCGCTCCCTGGGATGGTTAAATAAAAAAGCGGTATGTGCGCGGTGCGTTTTTGATGCGTGAGCGTAAAAACAAAAATGTGTATACTCTTTTTACTCTCCTTACCTTAGTTCTTGAGCTACGTATTTCATTTTGGTACCAACGTGTTCGCAATAAAATTATCTAGAAGAACATCAGTAAAAAAAGGTCACGAAACGTATAGGGATACCAGCACCAAATAAATAACTACGAAGATGACTCGCTGTGAGTGCCCAACAGCAACAAAATGTTTTTACTCTTGGGATTGTTATCACCTCCACACTTGTCCTACAGCGTTAATTTTGGTATCAATGGACTTGCAATGAAATTCCCAACACGGTGATATGAATATAAGCGTAGAATAATGATTGCGGCCCGCCCGCAAGAATGTGGGAAGTGGTGAAATTGTTACCCAGTATCGGTGACGGGACGACGCATTGAAAGTTTATACTTATTTCACTCTCATGACATTAATTTTCTATGTACGTCATTCATTTTTGTGTCAATGTATTTGCAATAGAGTGGTCTATGAGCCTGCAGGTAAAAAAGATCAACAAAGCGTAAGATAGAATAGCGCCAAATATAAAACAACGCTGGAACATATCAGCGAGCGTCAAACACACGAAATGTTTTTACTTTGTTATGTTTGTCAAGTTTATACTTGTTGCACAGTTATTTTTGGTTTTACATTGATCGGAATAAAATTCCCTAATCAGACATATGCATATAATACCCGATATGGTGGAAGCATTACCAGTATAAACGTCTAAAGTCACCCACCTGCAACCCGTTTGGGACATAATACCATTTGATCGAAGTGGTCCATACCTTTCATGAACTTATTGTACCATGCAGCCTAGTGGTGAGAGAGCCTCATGGCGCGCAGTTTGAAACAAACCCAAAGTAAATCGGATAAAAATTGAATTTTATACAAATATTTTAAAAGAGGACATAACTATGTCCACCATGCGGGAGCGGTTGGCAAAACAGGACTCCTCGGCGAGTCCTGATCCCGCGAAAGTGTTAATGCCTGTCTGCGGGATGTTGGTGCGGTGCAGCTCCATGTGCAGGTTCCTTCCCTGTCGGCTGCTCTTGTGGCAGAGAATTTGCGCGCTTGTGGCTTTTTGGCTTCGGTCCTGCGTTTCTTTTCCCTCCTGGACGCCTTGGTCTTGGATATTGTCTGCCATGTTGAAGCTCTTTGCGTCATTCCTGCAGGAGGCGTTGCTGCGGTTTTTCGCTGAGCGTTTCGCGTGTCGTCAGGCGGTCCTTGCTTCCTCTTTGGAGTTCGCTTGGGCCCTGGTTCTTTGGTTGTCTTCTCCTTTTTGTCCTCTGCTTTTTGAGGCTTCTGCGGTTGAGCGTTATATTCCGGCGGCTTCTTTCTCTTGCCACCCTATGTCTTAGTTGTTGGTGCTCCGGGGGAACTGGGGGGGTTCCTTCCCGACGGGGTCATACCAGGGCTTGCGGTTCTGTTCGTCGGGGTGGGCCACAGGTATTGGGTTCTCGTAAGGGGCAGCGGCTCTTTCGCGGTTCGCCCCATTGACGGGGTGAGGGTGGGAGGCTGACTCTGTTCGCTCACTCCTGGTCTCGCGATTTGTGGGCTTTTCGGGTCATTTCTCGTGGCCTGCAGTGGCGTTGGGTGGCTCCTCCTCCTATGGGGGGTTTGGGGCTGACGGGGCAGGCTTCCTTTCCTACGCTCCGTCGGGTAATCTTGGAGTGGGTACGTTTGGGCGTGGTCGAAACAACACCATCCCTCAGGTGGATTTCCCGCCTGTTTCCAGTTCCGAAACGGGACTGTGCAGACCTGCGGTTCATTCTGGACTTGTCCCGTCTGAACCCTTGGGTTTCTTGCCCCTCCTTTCGGATGACCACTCTGTCCCAGGTCCGGCTTCTGTTAGAGCTGGGCGCTTGAATGGTGTCCCTGGACCTCAAGGTCGCGTATTGGCACGTCCCTATTCATGTGGGGTTCCGGGACTGGCTCGGTTTTGTTGTGGGGCGTCAGTGCTACTGCTTTCGTTGTCTCCCCTTCGGGTTGAACCTGGCACGTCGAGTGTTCACACGCCTTGCCCGAGTCGTGGTGGCCCGTCTGCGTCTGTTAGGTGTTTGGGTGTTGGCTTACCTCGACGACTGGCTGGTTTGGGCTCCCAGTCGGTTCGCGTGTCTGCTTGCCAGGGATTTGGTGATTTCCCAGCTCGCCGGGTTTGGGTTCCTGGTGAACTGGCGAAGTCCCGTCTGGTGCCCTTCCAGGTTTGGTCCTGGCTGGGTCTTGTGTGAGACTCTCGGACCGCTTAATTGTCTATTCCTCCAGAGTCTCACCTTCGGCTGTGGTCTCGCCTGTGTCTGTTTCTGGGGGGCTCCCAGGTCACCCAGCGGTTGCTCGAAGGTTTGTGCGGGAGCCTGAACTTCGCGATGTTGATCTACCCACCGGGTCGGGTTTGGCTTTATCGGCTGTTCTGGTTCCTTCGGGGATGTCCCTTCCGCCTCTCTCGCGATCGCTGGGTTCGACCCCCGGGGGCTTTGCGTCGGCTACTGCGTCGCCGGCTTCGTCTTCGGGTTTTTCGGGGTTCAGTGCCTTGGCGCCTGCCCGAGCTCTCACTCGATGTATTCACGGATGCGTTGTCTCTTGGCTGGGGTTTTGTGACCAGTGCTCACCAGGCCGGCCAGGGGCGGTGGGGTCCGTCCTTCCGTCGGGTCCACAGCACGGTGCGGGAGTTCGCGGCGGTGTGGCTTGCGCTTCGGAGGGTTTGGGTCGCCCGCGGATTGATGATCCGGCTCCATTCGGACTGCTCCCCGGTGGTTCATTACCTGAACCGAGGGGGTTCGATGTGGTCCTTGGCTCTTTGGGGCTGGTCGCTTCGGGTGACTCGTCTGCTGAGTTCTTGGGGTTTGGCTCTTCTGGCGGTTCACGTCCAGGGGGTGTCCAACGTCCTGGCAGATGGCCTGTCCCGGTTCGTTCCCCTATCCACGGAATGGACGGTCGATGCCGACTCCTTCAGTTGGCTCTGCCGGACGTTCGGGCGCCTGGAGGTGGACCTCTTCGCGTCGGCGTGGTCGAGGCATCTTCCGGTTTACGTGGCGCCTTTTCCTGACTGCGAGGCTGTCGGGATCGACGCTTTTTGGCAGGACTGGTCGAGGTGGGGGGTTCCTGTACCTCTTTTCCCCGGTTCAGCTGCTGCTCCAGGTCATGGCTTGCTTGGAGACTTACCAGGGTCGAGTGGTCCTCTTGGCCCCGTGGTGGCCGGCCCAGCCGCGGTTTCAGGTGCTGCTTGCCCGGTGTCTGAACTCGGAGGTTTTTCAGCGGCTCCGCCTCTTTCAGGAGATCGGGCCGGTCCGGTACGTGACTGGTTCGCTCTTCTCCGCGAGTCTTCGCGGTTGGTGTTTTTGACTCGTGTTTATCACCATCTTTATGGTGAGCAGGTGGCGTCCTTGTTGGTTTCTCACCTGCGAGTTTCTTCTCGGCGGCAGTATGAAGTTTCCTGGCTCTTTTTGACACTTCATTGTTGCTCCTCGCTTTTGGTTCGGGTGGTGTTGTCCTTTCTCTCTTGATTGTTTCAGGACCGTCATCTGATGCCTAATACTGTCGCCTCATATCGTACGGCGCTGGTGCAGCCGCTGCAGCTTGCTTTCGGTATTGATGTTACTTCTGCGCCGTTTCGCAAGCTGTCTCGGGCATTGTTTCACCTCCGGCCTGCTTCATGCACCACCTGAGCCGTCCTGGTCCTTGGACAGAGTGCTCTTCTATCTTTCTTCTCCTCCGTTTGTTGTGGCCCCTTCGGTTCAAGATTGTTTTGCTAAGGCAATTTTTCTGTTGGCATTAGCCTCTGGGGGTTGCGTGGCGGAGCTTCATGCTCTTCTCCGGCGCAGAGATTTTTGCTCCTTTGGTCGTGGTCTTTGGTATGTTTGTCTGCAACCGTCTCCTCTTTTCTGGCGAAGAATGCGACTGCTGCTTTCCGGAGGGGTCCTTGGGTTGTGGATGCTTGGTTTGTCAGGCAGGGGGTTCACCATGTGTTGTGTCCGGTTGCGGCCCTCCTCCGTTATCTGCGCGCCACAGCTTCTGTGTCCGGGGATGCGCTCTGGATTGATCCGGTTTCCCTTCTTCCCTGTTCGCGGGTTCGGGTCTCTCAGGTCATCCGCAGGGTTATTAATATTGAATCCAGCCAGCCTGCGGTCTATCCTCGTGCCCATGACGTTCGTATGTTTGCTGCTCTTGCTGCCGTCTTCGGCAATATGTCTTGGGCTGACATTCGAGCACGGGGATTTTGGCGGTCGAACAAGGTCCTGGCTGCACACTACCTTGTGAATGTTTCTGGGCCCAGTCGGGCCCAGAAAATCCCTCCCACCCTCTGGTCGGCGGTTTTTCGTGATTTTTGTTATCCAACCTCTGAACTGGGGCGTGGATCGCCGGCTCGGAGGTCTGGGGCTCCACCTTCCCCCCTCCCGGGAAGGGGGGAGCTGCGCAGACATGCAGTGCGGCTCGTGTGACGTCATGCTTGTTTGCTCGTTTTTCTTTTGGGAAGTTCTGTCCACTCGTTTGTCAATTTTCGTCGTTAACCAGAATCTTGGTTTGTTTTGTGGCGCTTACCTTTCTGGGTGCCTGTCCCGGTTGATGGCAGATATAGAATGCTCCAAATCACATGTGCATTTCTATGGGCCATTGCTCCCCGTGCCTCTGTGAGGGGGCCAGGTTCTCGCTCGTGGTGCCAGGTAGGCACCCACATCGACTGATGCAAAATAGTTAGGGTATCTATATCAGCCATGGATAGCTCCGGGAACCCAAAATATGGCGTTTTCCTACATTCAACGCTGGTTTTTTCGCGTTGGTTGAAGCTTAGCTTTCGAAACTGATGCTAGGCAACGCGGTAAGGTTCGGGGCGGAGAGGGCTGCGCGGACAATCAGCACGACAGTAAAGTGTGATGTTTGCTTGTTTGTTTGTTTCCTTGGGATAGTAGGGAGTTTCTACCTCTCTGTTCGGTATTTTGTTTTAGTTTTTTACCATGTGGGGTTTGTTTTGTTATGCCTACCTTTCTGGGTGCCTAACCCCGGTCGATGGCAGATAGAAAAAGACCCAACCACAAGGGGGTTTTCCAGGGCCATTGCTCCATGAAACCTCTCTGAAGGGCCCAGGTTCTGGCGCTGGTCCCTGGTAGGTCTGAACTCCTTAGCTAATGTCCCGGTCTAATATAACATACATTAGCCCGATAAGCTCCAGGGAGCCTCTGGGGCTCACCCAGAAAATGGCGTTTCATTACATTCAACGTTGGTTTTTTGTTTACTTCCATGTACAGTATTAATTATTTATTAATGTTTACTTCCATTTTGCAGCTTTCTTGTGACCTTTCCAGGCACACCATATGAAGCTTACCTTTCCTGTGGAACTCAATTGTCCACCACTTAGAAGAGCATAGCTGTTATAATATAATACGGTGAAAAGAAAATTTAATATTGTATTATTTTTTAATTTTCTATAATGCTTCTTTTATTTGTATGGGTTAATGTTTCCAAACTTCTTCAAAGGAAAAAATGGGATACTGACTTATTCACTAATTACTGCTGTCAGGGACAAGAAGACTGTACTTAGGCTTATCGAGGTCCCTTCTAAGCCAGTCACCGATCTTCCCCAATATGCATCCCACAACAATTGCTTAACTCCCAGATGCCTGTTTACTGCTAGGCAAACAGAGGCATCAGGTATAAGATATGCCAACTGTCTTGCCCAGGGATTGAACACAGGTCTCTCAGCTGTGAGCCAAGAACATACATATACCACTGTGCTATGGAGCCCATACAAATAATGATAACGAGTCTTCTTATTCTGCAGAGTTATATATTTGCTTCCGTTTTCAGATGGTCCTGTACTAATCCACACCACCTCTGGGGACTTACTGCGGTCACTGGAGGCTCCACAAGGTTTTCTCTCTCCTGAAAATGTTGCTCTGTCCCGTGAGGGTCTAATTGTTATTAATTATGATAGAGGACATGTTGCCGCCTATACCATGAATGGAAAACGACTCCGACATGAATCTCACAATGACAACATTCAGGTTAGTACTAGGCCAGAAAGTTTTCAGGAGAGTAGTGGTATTGTTTAATTTGTTTGCAGAAAAGGTAAGGCAGGAAAATAAAAAATTTTGAAAATCAAGTTTAAAAGACAGTTCTTTACCCTTAAGCCATAATGTGCAATTGCAATGAAAGCTAGAAATATGTGAAAGATATTGTGCAGAATTCAATGTAATGTTCAATATTGCCAGATGTGTTGTAGTGGCTTTTAAATCTCAGAACTTGTTTTATTGAGACCCCAAACTGAAACTACTAGGCACAGAGATTCCAGTAAAGTATTCTGAAAAGCATCTGGGGTATATTATTATATAAGGGAATTAGTTAATTATGTTAAATTATGAAGGAACTACTGTGACAAATAGATGGTTGACTGTCAGGGAGTTTGAGTCCTATTGAAGCCAGATCTATGTTATATGAGCTCTGTGTTTTGAGTGATTTTGATCCAGAATAGTCCTGGAATCTGTTAATATTTAATGCTGAAGGTGTGAAAACTTCTATAACTTCATGGTATGATTAGTCTATATTAGTTCTCATTGAAATTTTCCTCTCATCATCCTAATACTGTATTGTGATATAAGTTCTGATATCATCTGTCTCACTGCTCTAGTGATTTGTTTTTGCATTATACATCACCTTTCAAATTTTAAGCTAAATCTAACTAACTTTATGGCAAAATGTAAGTTTGATTTAGATTGCTGTACATCTGTTTGGTCAAGCCATTATTTTATTAACTTGTGTAAGTTGTCACGACCAAAGGCTCTGATTTTGTCTGTGCTAAAAAAAAAAATAATTTCATGCACACCCAGATGTACGAGTCATTGGTTCCATGGACTCTTAATAATGCAAGTTGTTGATTCGTCATGTAGGGAAGAGGGCTTATATGCTTATATTTAAAGCTGTTCCACTTTATTTTACACAACATTTGGAATAACTGTTGTACATAAATATATGTACACAAAATAGACCAAACTAATTTGACAATTCCAGGCCACTTAAATATGATTACTTCATTGCATAGTAAGGAATTAAAAACAATAGCATATTTTTTAGTGGGTCAAGGTTAACTACATTATGTCCAAGCCCATGCAACCTTGAACCTTTCTTGTACATGTTGACAACTCCTGTAGGAACCAGACACATGCAGCAGAGGAAAGGTGGAAGATTTTAAGTATTTCCCATGTTGAGAGGATAGGCAAACCTTAACTTTGGTAAGCACAGAAGGAATTTAGTCAGAATTACACAAAACCTAAAATGTAGTTGGGTATAACAATATTTAGTTGTATCAAATGTAGTTGGGTATAACAATATTTACAAATCCTTAGGCCTAGGTCACAGTGAAACAAAACTACAATGACAAAGAATTGAGAAACTAAAAGGGTTGAGAAATTTACCTCAAACATAGATTTAAAGACAAGGAAAGATCAAGTGATCAAGATACAGTAGTAGTAGTAATAGAATGAGGACAAAGTCAGGTTCCTAGCCCACCAAAAATCAGCATGTAAAATCAAAATTTTTGAAACAAAGGATATAATAAACACTGCCTTTTAAATACTTTGAATGATGAAATTGTCCTGCTTGTCTGATCTGATGCTTGAGTAATGAGAAATAAATTACTAAGGAGGAAGTAATGAAAAGTGGTGATGCATGATGGTTGTGTATCACCAATACACTTCCAATTCTGTAGGTACTGGTTTGTATAGCGGGATGAATGGCAGAAATATACACTAGGAAGGTGTTGTTCATAAGATCAGATGTTCATAAGTTAGGGACCCATTGTATAAGTACAATTCATAATTAAAAGAATTATATTTATAAAATGTATGCTTGACTTATGGACATGTGATCTTTTGAACATCCTCCTCCTAGTTCATATTTCTGTGGGAGAGCTCCGTCGGCTCTCCGGAGCTAGGACTGGTATTAGCTAATATTAGTACGTGGCTTCAGTCACATGGAGTTGACATGCCTAACGGGGGCCAGCCTTTAACCTCCCTCACTGGTTAAATGCTGGTCGTTATTAAGTAAATCTACAGACCAGAGTTCTGCTGTGTAACCTTCAGTTCAACTCCTCGAGATCTAAACGTTTGATCATTTAGATATCACGGCTCAAGGATACTGTACCTTTCGATGCTACACTGCAAGCTCTGACTTACGCCGCCACCACCTGCTACCTTCTACCCACTGAGTAATTCCCCCAATTGACGGTGAAGCAGGATACCGTCAATTAGGCATAAACCCCGAAAATGGATCCCCAGTTATCAGAAAAGGAGGGATAAGATTTACGTTAAGTGTGGAATTAAATCAAAGTACAAAGGGATTATCTGAGGTATTAAATAACTGCTTGCAGGCTTGCAGAGGGAGCCTAGTCTCACGCATGGGGCTTGAGCCCAACAACAATGTAAAATAACTGTTGGGGGAAATTTCACTAAACACCATAAATTCTAAACAAAATTTATTAAACAAAGATTATCAATGAAAATAAAAATTAATACACCATATCTGAACACTTCCTAACTGAATATTTTCCTAACTGAGGCAATTCGAAATTGACTACAACAAATAATGTGGATTCTACACTGTAATAACTCAGACAGAACAATTACCTTAAATACCACAGCTAGGCCAGTTGTACAGCCATGCCTCTGGAGAGAGAGATGTTGACCCCCAGGATGTCTCAACCCACACTGAACTTTAGCCTGCTCTCTCAAGCTGAGACTGACCTCAGGCTAGTTGCCAAATTAATCTTTGAAGACGATTACTAACTAAAAATCCTGTATTCGTCACAGAAGGTGACTTATTATTCCAAAACAATTGGGAATTATCTAGATACTCGAGCCAGGCTAATTACAATATTCAATAGCACTTGCATTTCACTAATTTACATGAATTAACAAGCAAGCTGGAAGGTACTTATTTACCAAGTAACGAGATACCATATTCTTACTGAAGTCAAATGCTTCTTTGATAACATACGAGACTTATTCTTTATTCTTAATTGACGTTAATTTTAACATAAGTACTTAACCACGATTGATTATTCCTACTAATTCTTTAATACCTGAATTATTCTCCTAGTTTGATGACTCGACACAGGATGTCTGTGGCGCTGCTGTTTTTCTACATTAGAGCTCTAATCCTTGGGGGGGGGGGGGGATGACCCTAGCCTGCCAGTCAGGTCAACTACCCACTCACTCCATATTTTTACAAAAGGCGTATCCTCCCTTCTAATGAAATGACAACATTTAATGTTAGCTCTATGGTCTTCTATATTAACAGTTCTACTGTTACAGCCCATTCAGTCCAAGACTGTTTCCAGAAAGCTTTTTTCTTGTTGGCTTTGGCTCTAGGGGGTCAGGTCGGAGAGCTTCATGTTCTCCTATGGCGAAGAGGCTTTTGCTCTTTTGGACATGTTGAACATATGCAGCCATCTCCTCCTCCTCTGGCGAAGAACGAGACGGCGGGCTTTCGGAGGTGTCTGTGGGTTATTGGTGCTTGGCTGGTCATCCCGGAGGTGCATCATGTTTTGTGTCCAGTTGCAGCTTTACGTCGTTACCTGCGAGCCTCAGCTTCTGTGTCCAGGGACGCGCTTTGGGTTGTCCGTTTCTCTTGTTCCCTGTTGCAGGGCTCGGGTTTCTCAGGTTGTCCGCAGGATTATCAAGTCTAGCCAGCCTGAGGTCTACCCTTGTGCCTATGATGTTCTTATGTTTGCAGCTTTGGCTGCTGTGTTTGGCAATATGTCTTGGGCAGAAATTCGGGTGCTGCGGTTTTGGAAATCGAACAGGGTCCTGGCTGCCCAATATGTTGTTAATGTGCCGGACCCTCAGTGGTCTTGTGTCACCTTGGGTCGACGGTTGCAGTCAGTTGTTTCGTCTTCATTATGAGTGGTGCGGTGCAACTGCCTCTCGGGTAAGTCCCTCTTTTTCTGCTCTTTTGGTAGTTAGCTCCAGGGAGCCAATGGGGCTCCCCCACAGAAAACCAGCATTGAATGCAATGAAATGCCATTTTGCAACCCGTTCTCACAAAGTTAATAAGTCAATATTGACTTATTAAATATGTGCATAGGTGACATACTTAACATAATAGTTTCCCTTGAAAAACTTCATAGAAAACACCGACCTTACCTAACCTACTTAGTATGTTAAGATATGCATCTTATTGCTTCGTAATTACAATTATTACCTAACCTATACCTATAATAGGTTAAGTAACAATTGTAATTACGAAGCTATAAGATGCTTATTTTAACATACTAAGTAGGTTAGGTAAGGTCGGTGTTTTCTATGAAGCTTTTCCAGGGAAACTATTATGTTTAGTATGTCACCTATGTACGCAACTAATAAGTCAATATTGACTTATTAAATTTGCGAGAACGGGTTGCATTTTCTGGGTAGAGCTCCAGAGAGTCCCTGGTGCTCTCCCTCCCTCCCCCAGTCGGCGGGTTTTGTTTCCTTTTTCAGCCTCTAAACTGAGTCTGGCTGCCGGCTCAGTGGGTTGGGAACCCCTCCCCCCTCTCCCCCTCCGTGGGGGTGGGGAAGGGGTGGTGTCGGCACAAACGAGCAGCGCGTGGTGTAATGACATGCTGCTTGTTAGCTTGATTTTCTTTGGGGGAGATTCTATCCTCTGTTCAGTCTCAGGTTGCAATTTTTCTACCAGGATGGGTTTGTTTTGAAGCGCTTACCTTTCTGGGTGCTCAACCCCGTTTGATGGCAGACGTGAATACTTTCATACATTTGTTTCATAGGCCATTGCTCCCTGCACCTCTGAGGGGACCATGTTTTAGCTAGTGGTCCCCGCTAGGCATGACAACTCCATATGACTGAAGGCCCATACTAATATTAGCTAATGTCAGCCCAATAGCTCCAGGGAGCCTCTGGGGCTTTACCTAGAAAATGGCATCTCATTACATTCAATGCTGGTTTTTGTACACACATCCAAATTAGACCAAGGATGTTATTATCCTTATTCTAATTTGTACACCACAATGTACACCACTACATACCAAAAGTGTAGTGGTGTACTACACCACTCGTTACCAAAAGAGCAGAAAAAGAGCGACTTACCCGAGAGGCGGCTGCACTGCACCACTCATAACGAAGACAAGACAACTCTACATATATTCAGCTGATGTACATCAGTGAGGCCCTACACATCAAAAAGTCAAGACCAGCAATCAATAACCAGTTAACACACAACTACATTCTACCCACTTCAAGACTCCGAACTAACACAGAGACAGTAGAAGCAAGAACATTTAATGTCCTATTAATATCCATTATGCTATTCTTCCACATATTCATCTCCATCATGTCCTGTACCACCTCACCCCAAGCGAATATAAGTCTTGGCAAAGTGTGGAAATTTTGTCTTTGAAAATGTAAGGAGTGCCTTGTGAAATGCATCCCTGGGCATCAAACCATAATAAATTGTGAAAATGACCTTTGGAGAGTTAATTTTTCAACTTCTCTCGACAGTGAAGGAATTAAAGTTCATTACAGGAATTACTCGCATCCGGAAAACTAGTTGTGCGAGTTCTTACCTATTGGGAAATCCACTGGAAGTTCTCTCACTAGGGGAGGAGGGAGGGAGGGTTGCAGGTGTAGAAGGGGGAAATTAAGAGACCATTCCTTTGGCCCCGTGTTTAACATTGAGTAAATTTTAACTAAATGCTCACAGTTTAATACTCTGTGTACTGTTTAAGCATATTTCATTCATCATGCATGTTCATTTGTGATATCTACAAGTGTTACTGTGATTTAAAGCACTGTCTTCTGTTACATGATGCCATTATTGAAATGAAAGTAGAATGGGTAATTAATTTATTTGCCATTGCTAGTTATGCATCCAAATCTTGATATTAATAGAAATTATCTTTATAGTGTGTGATTCTGAGTCGAGACGGAGAGTATATGATGACTGGAGGAGAGAAAGGCATTGTAGAGGTGTGGCGAACATTTTCCCTGGCCTTGCTCTATGCTTTCCCAACATGCGACTCTGCTATTAGGTCTCTCGCACTTTCTCATGATCAGAGGTAAGTCCTTGAATAAAATTATTTTTGAATGAATTATGGGACTAGGTGCCTTTACAGCTTCATACAGTAGTAGTAGTAGTAGTAGTAGTAGTAGTTTTTAACTGTCTAATTGTTATTGCATCTTAAATTTCTAATAATGTATTAAAAGAAATTATGATATGGAGTCTAATCATTTTGTTGATGTGAATGCTATCTTACCAAGCCCCCCTGGTAGCTTTCCTTGTAGCACTTGTAGTATATGCCACTTCCAGGGAATATTTTAGACTACTCAGGGACAAGTACCCTTTCAAATATTGTTTTATTCCTCTCAATAGATAGAGCAATTTTTGGCCTTGTTCAAGATTGCTCTCTTATACAGAATTTGACTGAGATTGATGATCAAATTATTGATGATTTACTAGCATATTTTTATAAGAGAGCTGAGTTTTATAAGTGCTTCCTATGTAGGTGCTTGATTATATGATTATAGTGGGAATCTGATCCCCCATGAGCTGTGAAAATTTTGCAATGAAAGGGCAAGCAAACATTCAGATGAGTCACAATAATGTGGCTGAAGATATGACCAAACCACACATCAGAAGATGGAGAAACGACAACATTTCAGTCCATCCAGAACCATTTTCAAGTCATTATTATCAAATCAAGACCTTGACATTATCAAGTCAACCACACACAACTTAACAATGGTCCAGGATGGACCGAAACACCTTCGTTTCTCCATCTTCTGATGTGTGATTTGTTCATCCGCAAGCAAAGATGTTGCATGTCGTATATACCCCACCATTTTCACTTGTCCTATACATCCTGGTGTGGTAAGTGCACAGAAGCTGCAGAGTAGAGTCTATTTATAAATGGTTTGGATTATAAAATTGCAATTGCAAGATATTTAGATCACCTGAATTTTCATATAACCCACCTCATATAATTCACACTATTGAGAGATTTTATTTGCTGTAGAGGGTAGGCCCAATAAAAATATTGTGTAGTATTTTTGTAGGGTAATTAATAAGAACATTAATATAATGTAATCTGTGTTTTCAGATTCCTCATGGCTGGATTATCGACAGGATCCATTGTTGTTTTTCACATCGACTTTAATCGCTGGCATCACGAGTTCCAGCAACGCTATTAATCCACTGATACACGTGAACTACTTGTTATGTTGCCAAGACTGAAGCAAGAAAAGGCAGATAGTGAAGTGTAATGAAAGAGTCATTTAGAATTTCCAAACATTTTGAGGATTGATTAAGGTCCCTTGTTTGCAAAAAGTGCTCCATTCTCTTTAGTTTGGGATTTTGTTTATACAGTATGTATGTATGTATGTATGTATGTATGTATGTATGTATGTATGTATGTATGTATGTATGTATGTATGTATGTATATATAATATATATATATGTATATATATATGTATGTATATGTATATGTATGTATGTATATGTATATGTATATATATAATATGTATATATATATAATATGTATATGTATATATATGTATATGTATATATATGTATATGTATATATATATGTATATGTATATATATATATGTATATATTATGTATATATATATATATATATATATATATATATATATATATATATATATATATATATATATATATATATATATATATATATATATATATATATATATATATATATATATATATATATATATATATATATATATATATATATATATATATACATGTCGTACCTAGTAGCCAGAACGCACTTCTCAGCCTACTATGCAAGGCCCGATTTGCCTAATAAGCCAAGTTTTCATGAATTAATTGTTTTTCGACTACCTAACCTACCTAACCTAACCTAACCTAACTTTTTCGACTACCTAACCAAACCTAACCTATAGAGATAGGTTAGGTTAGGTTAGGTAGGGTTGGTTAGGTTCGGTCATATATCTACGGTAATTTTAACTCCAATAGAAAAAATTAACCTCATACATAATGAAATGGGTGGCTTTATCATTTCATAAGAAAAAAAATTAGAGAAAATATATTAATTCAGGAAAACTTGGCTTATTAGGCAAATCGGGCCATGCATAGTAGGCCAAAAAGTGCGTTCTGGCTACTAGGTACGACATACATATATATATATATATATGTCGTACCTAGTAGCCAGAACTCACTTTTTGGCCTACTATTCAAGGCCCGATTTGCCTAATAAGCCAAGTTTTCCTGAATTAATATATTTTTTCTAATTTTTTTCTTATGAAATGATAAAGCTACCCATTTCAATATGTATGAGGTCATTTTTTTTTTATTGGAGTTAAAATTAACGTAGATATATGACCGAACCTAACCAACCCTACCTAACCTAACCTAACCTATCTTTATAGGTTAGGTTTGGTTAGGTAGCCGAAAAAGTTAGGTTAGGTTAGGTTAGGTAGGTTAGGTAGTCGAAAAACAATTAATTAATGAAAACTTGGCTTATTAGGCAAATCGGGCCTTGCATAGTAGGCTGAGAAGTGCGTTCTGGCTATTAGGTACGACATATATATATATATATACATATATATATATATATATATATATATATATATATATATATATATATATATATATATATATATGTATATGTATGTATATATATAATGTCGTACCTAGTAGCCAGAATGCACTTCTCGTCCTACTATGCAAGGTTCGATTTGCCTAATTTGCCAAATAATTTTCTTTATTTTCCATAATTGTTTCCAATTGGTTTATTTGAAATATTATTAATATATTATACTAGGAACACAATTTATTGACTTAGTTATATTAGTTTAGGATAGGTTAAGATAGTTTAGGTTAGGTAGGGTTGGTTAGGTTTGGTCATATATCTACGTTAGTTTTAACTCAAATTAAACAAAATGAACACAAACATAATGAAATGGATATCTTTATCATTTCATAAGAAAAAATTAGAAATATGTATAAATTCAGGAAAACTTGGCTTATTAGGCAAATTGGACCTTGCATAGTATATAGCATAGCAGGCTGAATACTGCGTTCTGGCTATTAGGTAAGACATATATATGTATGTATGTATGTATATGTATATATATATATACATAGTATGTACCTAGTACATACTATGTGCATATATATATATATATATACATACATAGTGTGTACCTAGTAGCCAGAACGTCATACTTGGCCTACTATGCAAGGCCCGATTTGTCTAATAAGCCAAGTTTTCCTGAATTTATATATTTTTCCAAATTTTTTCTTATGAAATGAAAAATCTGCTCATTTCATTATGTATAAGTTAATTTGTTTAAATTTGAGTTAAAACTAACGTAGATATATAACCGAATCTAACCAATTCTACCTAACCTATCTTAACCTAACCTAAACTAACACAAATAAGTCAATAAATTATGGTCTTAATATAAAATAATAATAATAATTCAAATAAACTATTTGGAAAAAATTTATTGAAAATAAAGAAAATCACTCAGCCTATTAGGCAAATCGGGCCTTGCATAGTAGGCCGAGAAGTGCGTTCTGGCTACTAGGTACGACACACACACACACATTATATATATATATATATATATATGTCGTACCTAGTAGCCAGAACTCACTTCTCAGCCTACTATTCAAGGCCCGATTTGCCTGATAAGCCAAGTTTTCCTGAATTAATATATTTACTATAATTTTTTTCTTATGAAATGATAAAGCAACCCTTTTCTCTATGTATGAGGTCAATTTTTTTTTATTGGAGTTAAAATTAACGTAGATATATGACCGAACCTAACCAACCCTACCTAACCTAACCTAACCTATATTTATAGGTAAGGTTAGGTTAGGTAGCCAAGAAAAGCTAGGTTAGGTTAGGTTAGGTAGGTTAGGTAGACGAAAAAACATTAATTCATGAAAACTTGGCTTATTAGGCAAATCGGGCCTTGAATAGTAGGCTGAGAAGTGCGTTCTGGCTATTAGGTACGACATATATATATATATATATATATGTCGTACCTAATAGCCAGAACGCACTTCTCAGCCTACTATTCAAGGCCCGATTTGCCTAATAAGCCAAGTTTTCATGAATTAATGTTTTTTCGTCTACCTAACCTACCTAACCTAACCTAACCTAGCTTTTTTTGGCTACCTAACCTAACCTTACCTATAAATATAGGTTAGGTTAGGTTAGGTAGGGTTGGTTAGGTTCGGTCATATATCTACGTTAATTTTAACTCCAATAAAAAAAAATTGACCTCATACATAGAGAAAAGGGTTGCTTTATCATTTCATAAGAAAAAAATTATAGTAAATATATTAATTCAGGAAAACTTGGCTTATTAGGCAAATCGGGCCTTGAATAGTAGGCTGAGAAGTGAGTTCTGGCTACTAGGTACGACATATATATATATATATATATATATATATATATATACATATATATATATATATATATATATATATATATATATATATATATATATATATATATATATATATATATATATATATATATATATATATATATATATATATATATATATATATATATATATATATATATATATATATATATATATATATATATATATATATATATATATATATATATATATATATATATATATATATATATACATATATATATATATATATATATATATATATATATATATATATATATATATATATATATATATATATATATATATATATATATATATATATATATATATATATATATATATATATATATATATATATATATATATATATATATATATATATATATATATATATATATATATATATATATATATATATATATATATATATATATATATATATATATATATATATATATATATATATATACATATATATACATATACACTTTAATATTACATTTCATTTATAAGAACTCAATACAGTATATGTATAAAGGCAAAAAACAAAACAAAAATTAACACTTCTATAATTCATCTTTTAGAAACAACATTACCTACTAATAACTGAGGAATTGCTATTTGTCATGTTTACAAGTCTTACTCATCACTGCTGACTTGTCATGAGCTATGGTGGGGTTTACTGTAGGCTCATAGCACTGATGAGTATGTGGTTAAGTGAACCAGGCTTGCATTCCTGGCAAATTGCTTTTTAGCACATTCCATTATGTTGCTGCCACTTTTATGTTGTGATCACTTTGACCTGACACTGAGCAGAATTCTTTAAACACCTATTTCCTCATTATGTTTGGGTTACTAAATTTCAGAATCGGCTACAATGTTTAGGTTACAATGTATCATCGATTCTGCATGTAAAAATTACAGAACTAGAGTGTGATATGATTCTTAAATAGAAATTTTAAACAGACCTTGTTATTGAGCTTATTTTTCATTTTTTTTCCATTCAGGTCATATTCACACATGCACTGTAAATTCACATAGCATACTAGGCTCTGTAGTCATTAGACCAAATTGTTATTAGTTAATGGGATCTGTTGAAGAGACTTTGAAATGGGGATGTAAATTATGTAACCACTATTGCTTTGTATTTTTGGTCAGTATCACTCATCATTTATGAATATTTAATGCTTTATGAATGAATTTCTTACTCTTATAATGTATAAGCAGTATATAAATATGTATGTATATGTGAAACCAGTAGTTACAGTCTTTTGAGGTGATAGGTATGATTATTGATTAAAGAGCCTAATATGCATTCCAGTAAAGCTTATTTTTCTAGAGTTGTAGAAAAATAAGTAGACTTTGAAGCGAGTACAACACTCACTGTTGATGATCTCGTAATGCAACAAGAACCAGTGGCAATGGTTCATTAAGGCATTTGTTTATGGCAATAATTACGAGAGCCCAGGTGTTGCTTCTAGTCAGGCGTCACTGTGCCAAAAACGGGGTTAGTTTTTTCTATAAAGCATGTCTTCATGTTAAAGGCAGTAACTGAACAGAAGACTACCATAAATATTATATGCAGTCTGACTATGATCCTGATAAAAAACAAAAACATTCATGGTACTAGTAGAGTACAGTATATATGTATATGTAATATATATATATAATATATATATATATATATATATATATATATATATATATATATATATATATATATATATATATATATATATATATATATAAAAGAATTTGTAGGCCTTGTTGCTTCCTGATCATGGGAGCCTAACTTTGAGACAAAATGTAAGAGGACTTCAATTCTCTTGCTTTATTCCATGAGTTTACTAAAACAAAAACAAAAAAAAAACAAAAAAAACCCAAAAAAGGCATTCAAAAGACTTGCAAGTAATATATTGCAACTTGAATCACGTCACTTTTTTTCGGAGACCATTGGTACTATTTATATACTTGATTGTGAAATCTGGACTATATATTAAAA